TATATGGTAACAAGAAGATGTTTACAGAAGTAGGTCATTGACACCGTAAACGTTGTGAAGCAGTCACAGCATTGTCCACAAACTTCTCAGTTATCTTAGTGAGCATTCTATCACAAACAAAACATGATACGTAAAACTATGCTAACTTAACTTCATAAGTTCATAAGCTGGCAAAACTTTCAACAATAATTTCACTAGATACACGCACACACACACATTACCTACAGCTTATCACAGAGATTCATTCGTAACAGTGTAAAAGAAACGGAGGACTGATTTCTCAAAAAAGTTTATCGACTTCTTTGCGAATGAGAAATGAGATGCGAACTGATGCAACTGTGTCTTCCTTAGCACTCACCATTGATCAAAGTTTGTAAGTTCAATTTAACAGTGCGACCATTAAGCTTAGTGATATAAAGCTATACTGCCATGCATTTTCGTATGAAATGTTAGGAGTCCATAACCAGAAAGCCTTGAACCTTGGTTTTATTATTGTCGAAACTTATCAGTATGGTATATCCGAAACCATAAGGAAACTGGTGTTTCCCTAGTGATTCTTAATGATGTTGAAGGCTAGAACAATAAGTTAATAGACATATAAGTAACATCTTGGTTATTAGTGGATAATCGATTCGAGAGTCTAGTCCCTGCTATTTTCACACTAACATACAAGTAACACTGATTCCAAAGAGCAAAAATCCTTCTATTCTAGCAGTTAAATAAAATATCCGTATGAACATTCAATCATTCAGCTTACAAGTGATTGCCCCTATGACATTAAACCATTTAAAATTATTCAACAGAGAGTTAAAAGGTATAAAGTTCTACTGGCCGTTTAAAACGCATTTACTTCAATAAAAAGAGTTTTAGACGTAATCCACATTGTTTATTTCAAATACATAAATTCCTGGGTATATGCATATTTTTAACAATCGAAAGCCACTATAAATAGTCAAGAAGAGAACGCCAACATAAACGTCATAATAGAAGAAATATACGTAGACAGAATTTAGTGGTATGCATTTTTGTGTAGTTCTTTCAATCCTGAATGCGACTGAATGTAACAAAACTTTCTATATACACTATGGTGATCGTCTATGTCTGTATAGTGTATCAATATATAAAACATGAGTGAAATACATCAGGCCTAGTTTAAAAGATAAAACTTATTTTGGATTTTAAAGAAGTGTTTATCACGGACTGACGTCAATTAGATAACCATTGAAAACCTAGGAACCGTGAACAGCTGTTTTGTGTTAGTGTGAAACACCTCAGCATTTTGCCACCAATATCACGTCAGGGATCGAATCCAACATTGTCAGGCCTCGTGGTGAGTACCTTAACTACTGGGTGGGAACACACTAGTCCACATTTCCTGAACTCTATCAATTCATGATATACAGTGTCCACGATCAGATGTATCAGATATCTTTGCCCTCTAACGTGTTTCAAAGCTTGATTGTCAGATTTTTCTCCCATACTTCTACTTAGATGTCATTCTTTCACTATTCTCTTGTTGTTTGCATGCTGCTGTGAAGTTTGGGAACTTGAACCGAAACACTTGTGTGCGAAGTTTTACATCAATTTCGTCTACCTGTTTGAGACTATCATCCAGTGCGAGTGGCAAGTGTTTGTCTACAGACGTCACTTGGTTGACGCAACATTAGACCTTTAGGAATCCATCTCTAAAAATTTCGCTAATGAGCACTATATAGTGATTCACTTTGGATGTTTGTGGGGAATTACAGATTTGAAAAAAGTACTGCCCTCAAATACACACTCCTGAGGAACCCACCCGTTGGACAAAATCGTTATTTTTGAGGAAACCTGGGCGACTGATTTAAGTGTGTTAGCTTTCAATTCTTACATAAGAAAGGAATGAAAAATCATTATTCGCTATTTCCTAGGAACTTTCACTGAATAGATTATGTGGTAATGTCTCTAGCTACAGTATTATTTAGCACTCGATTAGGCATTCTATATAAGCTCAGAGTCAACGAAGATGTTGACATAAATTCAGTTTTCTTGTTTTACTACGGTTACGAAATGTTATCACTTGGTAAACCATTGACAACTTGCACTAGGCAGTTTGATACTTTTCAGTAGTATCCACCTATGACCCTTCTGAACATCCAACCCGCGATTGCTGAGTCTTATGATAAGCAAATTACCACTCTGCCACTGAGTTAGATTAAAATGGCTGAAAGTTCCTCCCTTCTGTCACTTAGAAATATAGCATGTCCATCATCAACTAGCATCTAAAGATATTTATCCTAATACCCGACATGATTTCATACTCACTGATAAATCTCATGGTTCTGGGCTCATGCCCAAGGACAGTCGTTGATGTACATTGCTAAGAAGTTAAAAACTAGCAGCTGTTCATTACTGACAGGTTTTCAGGGAATCTGTTTCTCATATAAGATCGTGAAGTGACCTACACAAATCTTCTCTGGCATCTAAGGCAAATTTGCAAATTAGGATACTTTATGCAATAGTTATGGCTGTACGTTATACGTTTAGTAAAGAGAAATTACAATCATTAACTTAAATATGAGGATTTTCCTTCATTCCTTCCTTCAATTTTCCGGTTTCTTTCAGATGTATGTAGCCAGAACACCATAAATCTGCAAATATCTCACAGCCATAGCATCAATGTACTAAGGACGGAATCAATAATATATTGCTTCGATGACAGCGTATTTAAACTTAATTTTCCATTCACTAGTTCATAGTTGTTCTTTATATCAAGAATAATGCTTAACTACGGTTTATAATAGGCAGTAATTTCACAGAAATCCAACATACTATTCACCCATTGAGTTAGAATAAAATGGTTGAAAATCTCTCCCTTCTGTTATTTAGTAACATAGCGTGTCTATCATCATATGCCATCGGTGAGTATTTACCCTCATAAGATATCAAATTGATAAATCATACTGAGAAAAATTTTCTGCGCTGCCAAACTCAGATTAACTTCCTCCACTTGCCTAATGCTTTGGTTGTGCATAAAGAATAAGCTAGTTCTCTTGGCTACGTGCATATGTCTCTACCAATTTACCTGCTACTCTGAGGTAAGGTATATTGGCCAAGCTTAACGTTCGCTTTCCAAACCCATTTCCGAACAGAAAACCAACCTTGTTCCACAAAGGAGAAAGGAGAACACTTCACAGCTCTATTAGAAAACATTTGATCGATTATGACCACCCAGTAAATAAAGAAAATAATTTCAGTGTCATCTGTAAAGTTCACGCCTAAAACTTCTTCAGAGTATGGAAGCCATGGTAATTAATATTTTGAAGCCGTTTTACATCATTTAACTTAGTAACCAAATAGTAGTTCCGTCTTGATAATTCTTCTTCTCATTACTATTCCAAAAATTAGGTAATTCTGTTTTTCGGTTTCCTGATTTATAATCGAATCTGAACTTTGTTCAAAATATTTCATGAAACATTCCTTTTCTGTTACCATATGATTGTACAGCTTGAGAATGATATTGCTGAAAAGAGTAACTCTTCACTATGTGTCTTTTGTTTTAAATTATATTCATGTTGACATATTTAGTGGGCTATCTAGTGTAAACTATCGCACCAGTGTAAGCAAATCAATTAATGTTAATGGACTGATTATATAAGATAAGTCAACTATGAATAATTTCACTATATGTGAACCTTAAAAGATAGTGGAAATTTTCTCTTCAGTAGAACAATTCAAGCTGAACCAACTGTCCACATGAATCCTTTTTCACAAACGTTTTCTGTATGAATGAGACTTTTATTTACAGTGAATCAATCCAGATGACTAGGCAAAACCTCCTCAAACTTTATGAATTGTAGTCTTTTGTGTTCAAATATGAGAGCAGTTATCATTCGTGTTCACCAAACCCTTGCTTTCAGTCAGACGACATTCGTTATTTTTGTTGTCAACAGCATAAAGTTAGTTAATCCTTGACATGTTGTTGAAGAGGAATACTTTAATGGTAAGTGATGTGTGGAGCCATCATTTCATGTTTACAGTCATTGAGTTACATTGCCTTACACTTTGGTTTACATTGTAGCTTGATATGGATATATTTAAGTTCATAGATTAATCATTCAACCAATGAAATTTATTCAAACAGCTCTTACACCAGTGATGATAGATAGAGGCTAGCAGAAGAATCTAAGACTTACGTTTCGTTTTCTTCGAGACTTGTCAGTTTGATATCGCTGCCTCTCAGTGAATGACGTCATTCCCCCTAAAACCCAAACCCAGGGCCAGTCATTCGAAACATCAGAAAGTTATCCAGTAGGTCACTGAGTTACTAAGTCTTTACGCCACATATTTCCTGGAGTAAATGAATAACTCTTCATTTTCTCAGTGTGAATAACTCCTCTAGATCACGTTACGAGTACTGTATTTCAATATTCCTGCTATTTTGTGACATGTAAATTAACAAAAACGTAACCACCTATACTTGTTAACTCACCTTAGTGACTTATTTTCTTCAGTAGTTTGCATATCCGTTCATATGAACAGTTCAAGCGAAAATGTTTAGTGATGTAGTCAAACAATTTCTGCTTTCAGTCAGTAGGTCTAAGGGAATTTCTCTTAACTGATTTGAAGCTAGCATTCACCACGGAATGACACCAGTTGGAGAACCATTGAAGACCTGGGAGCACTGGACAGATATTTCATTTTAGTATGAGCCTCCATATCAGCGTGCATTCATGACCTCAACATAAATCGAATCCAAGGCTTTCACACTCAATGGCCAGCACCTTACCATTAACCCACTGGGTCAGAATTCGATTTTCTTTCTATACGTCCAGAATTTTAATGAGTTAACTATCTCACTCCTAAAATATAAAATGATAAAGTTCATTATTCTGTTATATTGGCTCTTAAAACCACTAGATAACAATGGAAAACAATGCATATACTAACTACAATGAAAAATGTTTTCATTTAAAAACCGATCGAATCTTTTCTACTCTTATATTCTTTAATTTACTTTTCAGCCCCACTTGTAACAATAGTCGTATGCTGTTGCATACTGACGACATTTTTTCTGCTGGTCCTCTTTCTGCGATGTCGGTAAGTATCTGTATATACTAAGCTTGAGCTAGTTATTTTTTTCCCTTGTAAATATCCTTCATTGTGTTACAAGGACTTTGCTTTTCTTAGTTGAACTGAACTGGAATCAATTATACGCCTTGAACTATAGATTTGTTCCATATAATAACAATAACTGCTTTATTCTAGACAAAGCTTGTGGAACAATATGAAATTCTCAGCATGTTACAAATTTATTCCCTGTGGAATATCATTAGGCGAAATAATCACTGTATTTCAATAACTTTAATAATAAAAGTAATAAAGAAGCCATATTGTGAAATTTATTATCAATATTATTATTATTATCATTTATCCCCTGGGTTCCTAGTGGAACATACAACTTCAGCAGCACATCTCAATTACACTCGCTTCACTGAAATATTTTCAACCTGCTTCCACAACTGCACATAACCACTCATTTCTTCCTCACACATTCTCCTCCACGTCACCATCAGCTGGGACGGACACCCAAATCATCGTTTACCCTTTCAATTCCATTCGATGGCCTGATCTGGTGTGTGATGTCTACAATAGGCCTTCTCAGTGAATGCCCACTCAAATTCATCTCCACTTTCCTCAGCTGCATATTTGTTGAGTGATGGGTTCTTGGTTGGTTCGTGGCCAGCCAGCCAGCCAGCCACAGTTCCTTGTTGCTTATTCTTATTATTCTCGCCTTCTGATCTGATCTCCAGTATCGAGCCAGTGCAGATGGTAGCTGTTGATGAATATTTGTAGTTTGTTGGAAGTGCTTTTCATCACGCGCCAAATTTCTGAGCCATACAGAAGCACTGACTTGATTGAATTGATGTTGAAAATCCGGATGTTGTTCAGGCTTTATGCTGAGTGCAGAAGATCTGCACACTGTTTTCAGGTTAATGTGGGGAGGCCTGCCTTGCTGTCTTTCCGATCCTGGCTGGCATGGACGTCCTAATGTGTGCGTGTGCCGCCTGTATTTGAAACTGTGCTGCCTAGATAGGTGAGAGGGACTACTTCATTTAAGTGTTTCTCCTTGATGGTGATTGGTGCTTGTTGTTGGTGGTTGTGTTGGTTGGGTATCTTCATCTGTCACCTCCGTCTTCCCTACGTTCACTTAGAGTCCTGTCTTCGCTGTCCTGCCTCGCCCCTTCTGTCAACTTGTTAGTTTTCGCCTGTAGATCTTCGAGTTTGTGCAACATTAGATACACGTCATTCACATTGTGAAATAGGCACCTAGTATTACATTAACTTCTGGTTTGGATTCGTGAATGTTTAGAAAATCTAGAGTAATTTTGTCAGTGGTTTTCGATCTAGCAAGTACTAAATTCTGCAGTTCGACATAGTTATCTAAGGAATAGTAATGTACTGTAGATTTGTGGGTTTATAAGTCCATCTCTTAACCAGGTATCATTTTTTTTTCAGTGTATTGTTGTTAACTTGAAAAATGGCAAATGGAAATCATTTTAAAGGTGTACAAGAGTACATAACAAGTTTAAATGACATATTTACAAGATTAAAACAAACTGAAAGGGAGTAATTTGATGAAATATATTGGATGAAAAATTTTTCGTAGCCCAAATTTTAAGCAGGCTGCCTGTAGTAATATATATTGAACAAATTTTAATGCCATATTATTTAGTTAATCTACCTGCGAGTGGTTTTAGACGTCTTTGGGTATCTTTTTTTCTTATTCCCAAAGAATCTTATCATTGCCGTCAGACATACGACAGACCAGTTATGATTTTAAGAAATTTTTTAAAAGAATTAGAAGGTAAGGTGAAGTATGCTGAATAGAATCAACAAGTAGATGTAATTATAAATTTTGTGCTTATAAAAGAGTATAGAAAGTTATTTAATGGGTTGAAAGTGAATTCATTACATTTTATGTGATCTACTTTATCTAGATGTGGATGGAGACAAATGGTAGGAAGTTCTAGACTTCGTACCTATAGTCACTCATCACCAAGATGCATCTCTCACCTCGATGAAACTAATGTCCTATCTGAGATTCAAACCTGATTCATTCAATACCGCATCGATAGACGTTACCATTGAGATTTTCAGGCTATGGTTGACCTCTTGTAGAACTGGATTATATAAATTGATTGGTTACTGCAGAGTAACCAATTTTATATTATTTAGTCCTGAGTATTCATCGAATTCTATCGATTATTTTGTAATTTCAAAGAGTTTTGTCATGATTAAGTGTAATTCAATCGACTTCCATAGTATGATAATTGAGTCCTCTTTTAATTATACAGCGGAATTATAATTACAAAATAACAGGCTAACAAAGTTCATTATGTAATCTTAACTAAGGAAAGCAGGTAAAATGTTATTTTGACGATGAATCCTTTCATGTAGTCGGTAGAGAAATATAAATTATATTCCTATTCGTAGTAAAGGTAAACGTTGATAATTAAGACATGAAAAACAATGATGATTTATAGAGTTTCATGATAAAGGGACCTCTGTTTGTGTCATATCTCACAAACAAGAAGTTGAATATTCAAAGCGCAATAGTTTTCATACAGTAGACTATATCCCTTTGAAAGAATAAAGCAAAATAATCAATATTTTTAGGTAATTTCAGTCGTGTTATCATTATACTGTCAATTTTAATCACTTATTACATGCACAAGATTTCTAGTATGCACAGCGTAGATTTGAGATTAGTCAAATCGAAGAGACAGTAAAATAACTATGAATTTCGAGGCATACATTCAATAGTTATGGATGATACACTATCGAGATAGAAAACTAATCAACGCCAAATTTTCTCCCTCTTGAAGTCGATTATTATTATTATTTTTAGTCCCTTTGGTTCCTAGTGGAACATAGGGCTTCAGTAGCATGTCTCCAGTGACCTCTGTTCTCTGAGATCTTTTGAACCTGGTACCATGACAGCCCACAAGCTCTCATTTCCTCCTCACACGACCTCCTCCATGTCACCCTCGGACGTCCAACTTATCGCTTCCCATGGGGATTCCACTCGAGGGTTTGGAGTCGATATCACTGACGAAAACATTTTCAGCATTTGTGGCGAACAGAAAAGTACTGGGCATGAAACTGGCAATAAATAGTATTGAGGAATCCTTAGATTAACATTTTATAAACATTCACCGTTGTATAGTACATACTTTATCTTCTTGACTTAAATTTGCAGTTTTATTCGCCTCGCTAATAGATTTCGGAGAATTATATCTCTGTAGTAGACAAAGATTTTCTTCAAATTAACTAGATATACCCAAAGCCTGAATGTCTAAGTGCTACTGTGACATGTCTTCAACAACTCTATTTACTCTGTTTTAAAGATAATGTAATTTCTTAGTTTCGATTGAATCATGATTAAAATGAAATTTTCCACAGTGTTAAAACACTGATTTACATTCATTTCAAGTATAAAATTTATGGAATTCCATGACCCCGTAACCAGTAAATTAATATTTACCTTCTAATATGGCGTACTCAATCAAGTTAAGCATTCTGTTCCATACTTTCTCTGTACCCTTATCTTGTTAATTATTTTCACAAAAAATAATAATATTACATTTAATTATATGTATATACATATATACGTATAATCACAGGGTGGAACCCAGTTCAATGAACATGAAATACAATTGAAAACATTGGTAGAATAATTCATCATAAAACGTTTGTACTTTAGTTAACGCTTTAGGGTATGAACTCATTTAAGATTAAGGTTTTGGGTTAGTTATTAGCTATAACTCTAAACTGATTTGTTATCTATTATTATTATTATTATGCTGTGTAAGATTCTTCAGCAAGTTTGTTAACCGATGACTAGAAAAGCTATTGAAACACTCAACTACACACGTTAACAAGTATGCAAAAATAGATTTTATACTAATCAGAACTTTAGAGTTTTTCTTTGGAGAAATTACAATTAAATATATCCATCAAAGTAACATGCTGTCACCAATCATGTTTGACTTTGCAGAGATAAGTACCATCAAGTTCTTAGGTATAGACCGAATCCCAGGTGGCCACCTAGGTGACTCGGGCTACGTAGGTTAATAAGACTACATGCAGATTCTTCTAAGAATCTTTACTGAAAATCTACATGTATTTGACATGCGTTCTGCACTTTTCAAATGTCATGACTTATCTACACCGACTCTTAGTATGAACATGGCAAGTAATGCTATGGAATACATTTGCCTCTTCACTTATATGAGAAATGACGTCAGTTCAAAGACAATGGATACCAATGAAATCTCAGCTCGAGTACAAATAATGTGTTTTGCATTCGTCACTTTACCTCATCTTTTGCATCAGCAGGATTCTCAACTACCTATCAAAAGACAGGTATGCTATGCAATAGTTCTAACTGTCATGTTTTACCCCAGAGTCATTTCCACTTGAATTAGATAGTGCAAAAGAGCTACAGTTTTTTTTGTTAACAAGTGTCTTTGTGTGATGGAATCACTGTGTATGTAATGTTGACATTAAATGTAGAGTGACAGATCAGAGGATGTGGTTGTGAACTTTCACTGGCTGACGTGACTTGAACCTTTTGTTGGTAATCCCTATTCGCAGCATACCTAAGCGTTAAACGTTAACTGAAGTGAGAATGAGTTAAAAGAATCCTAAGGGTGACCAGAGAAAGATATGAAAAGAGTCCACGACGTCTCTGGCCATTGCTTTAAATCATACGAAGAGGTGGAAAGTCCCTTACTGGAGTCCTCGAGATAGTATTAATCAACGACTGGAGACCTTTGATGACAGGGATGGAAATTGCTCGCAATTGTGAAGATGTATTGATCCTCTGATAGCTCTGAAATTTTAGACATATTTACTAACCTACACTTATTCCTCCTTCTCGTCGCACATCGTCGATTACTCCGATATCTCACTTTATCCATTTCTTTCTTCGGATGCTTTTGTGAAGTGTTGCAAGTTGAGCCAATATACTTTTACCCCAAGATAGATGCTGACCACTAAATGTCATCTCAGTTCATAAAGGACCGGGTTGGGCA